AAAATAAAAGAGTTAAGTGGGTTTAAAACTCATCCCACATTGGTGGGAGAATGAAAAGGAAATTGGTTTATAACTACAAAGACTAGCTACCTTTGTAAGACTTATTAGAACCAAGGCTCTCTCTTGCGCGCGCACGTAGGGGGGGTGCAAATGCGAGCCAAATTGGCTTCGGGCTACTGAACTTGAACTTGTGTGCGGGCACGAATGCACCACCGGTCAACCAGAAAAGTTCAAGGACCTTTTTTGCATGCATTTTTTCCTTTTGGTTAACAGTTACAAAACCAAATTAAGAACAATTAATTATAGATTTCGGTTTTGATTTCTTGATTAATTTTCTTATTTAATTGTGACAGTTACGATTTCGTTTTAATTGCACCGGTTACATTGGATAGTATATATACATTGCATATGTGACTGATTCCATACACCGTATGAAACGAAATCATTCTCTTCCTCTCTTACGCTTCTGCTTCATCTTTTCTCTCCTGCTGCAACCAAGGTATCATCCGGGCCAAGTGAGGGTTCGGGCAATCTAGAAGAATTGCTTTCTACTGTTGTATCCTGGGAAACAAACACCCATATAGGGCGAATTTGTTTTAAGGAAATTTGTGTTAAACACAGGCCTCAGTCAAGAATTTTTTGGATTTTGTTCTTTCGCACAGTTTTGGGTTATATTTTCCTAACAATCTTAAAACAAATCGTTTGTGCGAAACGAACTTGGAAAAAAAAATTGTTTCTGATTCGTCTCTAAGTGTTTATAAAAACGAATTTTTTTTTTCTCTACATAACAATTGCAGAATCTGTTTTCAGAAATCGTTTTCTAAGACATTTTCTGCTTCTTCTGTTTTCTGTTTAAGTTTATTGCATCCATAATCTGTTATTGTTTTCAGAAATTGTATTCTAAAACAATTTTCAGATTCTTTCTTTTGTTTCACAGTTTTTCAGAACCTGCTTTCTGGAAACAGACAATATTTAACAGTTTAGTGGTTACTGAATTTTAATCTTTAATAGTTTTATATTTGCTTCCTTTTGTAGTATGACTACTGGTGAAGGTTCCCAACCACCAAAGCCTAATGGAACTCCTAATGCTCAAGGAGCTCCAATGATGACCATGCCGACAATCATGCTGAGAAACCTGAGAAGTTCTCTAGACTGAACTTTAAGAGGTGGCAGCAGAAGATGCTCTTCTATCTTACCACATTGAATCTTGCTAGATTCTTAACTGAAGAGGCTCCTCGGATGCCCGAAGGAGAAGGAGATGTGCAAGCTTTAACTGCTATTGATGCTTTGAAACATTCTGATTTCTTGTGTAGGAAATATGTTCTTAATGGCCTTGTTGATTCACTTTATAATGTGTATTGTGTAACAAAGACAACCAAAGAACTATGGGACTCATTGGACAAAAAGTATAAAACTGAAGATGCCGGGACAAAGAAATTTATGGTTGCCCGATTTCTTGACTATAAAATGGTGGATGGCGAAACTGTTATGTCCCAAGTCCAAGAACTACAAGTCCTCCTACATGACATACATGCTGAGGGTATGGGGTTGAATGAGCCTTTTTCTGTTACTTCCATGATTGAGAAGCTACCCCCTAGTTGGGTTGATTTCAAGAATTACTTGAAACATAAGAGAAAGGAAATGTCCATTGAGGACCTTATTGTTCGCCTTCGAATTGAAGAGGATAATAAGATAACTCAAAAGAGTAGTTATACCCCTACTTCTGAGAAAGCTAATGTGGTGGAGCATGGTCAAACTTCTGGGAAGAATAAATCTGGAAAGGGAAAATTCCAAAAGAAATGCAAGGGTTCAAACTTGGGAGCCAAAGGTGGAACTTTTAAGAAAAAGTTTCAAGGAAACTGCCATAACTTTGACCAACGGGGTCATCGGGCTGCAAATTGCAAGCTTCCAAAGAAGGCTAAGGAGGCAAATGTTGTGGAGAAGATAACCAAAGATGTGTCTGACATCGATCTTGCAGCGGTTATTTCTGAAGTTAATCTCGTGGAGTCCAATCCAAGGGAGTGGTGGATTGATACGGGAGCTACCCGTCATGTTTGCTCAAATAGAGAATGGTTCAGAAACTTCAAGGTTGTGGATAATGGTGACAAGCTGTTCATGGGAAACTCGGCCACTTCTGATATCCAAAGTGTTGGAAAGATTGTGTTGAAGATGACGTCGGGAAGAGAGCTGACGTTGAGTGATGTGTTGTATGTACCCGAAATTCGTAAGAATCTTGTGTCGGGTTGGTTGTTGATAAGTTGTGACCTTTTTGCCCTTATTTTGTTTTTGAAAAGACAGAAAAAGATCCCAAATGTTGGAACCGTTTCTTCCTTTGACGCTAACTCTTCTTCCCAAGCGACTAACGCTGATTCCTCGTTGCCGTTCAAGAATTGTCGGCCGCCATTGCTTCTTCCAAGTCGCCGGTCGCCATTGATTCTTCAATAGTAAGTTTTTTTGTTCTAATTCTTGTTACACATGAGTTTTTGTTTAATGGATTTAGGTTCCTATCGAGATACAATTTTCAACTTGTAATCCTCTTCCTTTAGAGAGCAACTGTAATGCAAATAATTGTTTTGGTTAAATGTTTCAGAGAGTTTTCTTCCTTATGTGGTTAAGAGATTTACCATTTTCTAGTTCCCATGTAACTCTTTTTTTGCTTCTTCAAATTCTTTCTGTTACAATGACATAAAATTACAAAATAAAACAAAATTCATAAAATGTTTAAAATAACTAGCCTTTTCCTGTTTAGAATATATGTTTGTTTCCCTGCTCATAAAATTGATTGTTAAAATTGATTCAACAAATTGGAATAATGTAGATAGACTGAATGTTCAGGGGATCCTATTGATGAGGGCTTCTAAAAAAAGATGATGGTGAATTGGTGATGATCAGAACAGGGGTCGGAGATGTTGATTTGGTTGCTAGTTCTTATTTGCAGGCTTGATGGTGTTGGTGTAAGGTAAAGCCAATGGACATGGAACATGGGTGGAGATGATGACGGTAATGCCCTGAAGGTGGAACTATGATGACTCTTGTTGTGTATGATGAAGGTTGTCGAGAACACAGTCTGGTTAAGAAGATGGTGGAGGCTGCATGGGAATGGTGTCAGTAGGGTCTCGTGTGTGGCATTAGATGATTATGATGGTGATGGCGGTGTTCTTAGGAGTACATGGTGAGGTTGTCTTCGGTTTTATGGTGTATCAAGGATTGATGGCTGGATGTGAATGATGGTGTGTTGGCTGAGATTAAGAGAGCATATGATGGCAGGTGGTTTGATGTAGAAGATGATCGGCTGAAAGAGAGGTAGGGTTTTACAGATGGTGGTGATGGTGAGCTTCAATCAGAATAGAGGTTTGTAGATGGTGGCGGTGATGGTGTTTCCGGCTAAGATAGGGAAGCGAAGACGATTAATGGTGATAGATAAGAGGTGACAGCTATAAATTATAAATCATTTCTGTCTTTATATTTTTTATAAATTAACATAAGGGCAAAAAAGTCAAAATTATTTGATATTATGTGGATGGATAAAAAAGACAAGTGGAAATATCATCTCCCATATCAAATGTATTTTTATCTATTTGTTTATTACAACATCCTATTTTTTCTTCCTATTGCAACACTGTACTTTTTTTAATGAAGCTTTGAGAAGTATACCATTATGTGTATGTGTTGCTACTTCCGAATACTTGCCTTTTATTGTATCCAATCAAATAAACTAATGAAAACGAACCCTTTAATGTATCCACTCTCAAAATATCCAGTCATACAACAAACAAAAAATATGCAAAAATCGGGATCTTCTACTAGTTTATATTAATAATACCCTTCCCACTCTCTACCCTTCTCCTTCCTCCACTATCATCCTCTTTCCAGGAACAATATCTAGATAGATAGAGTTTCAAGAAAATGAAACATATACAAACCGATACACAGAGATAGTTGTTGTGAGTACTAATTGTTAAACATCCATTGACATTAGGTTTCATTATCAAGACCATTATCATCTTTGTGATAGATAGAAAAAATAAATAGAATTCCAAATCAGGAACCTAACCGATATAACTAAAAAAATTCTTTGGATCTATTTTCAAAGCTTCTTAATTTTTATACTTGCTGAACTAGAATCTAGCTGAACAACGCTCTTCAATCTTTCTCCTCAGTTTTTGTAAAAAGGTAGTCGAGGGGTTGATTTCTTCAAACCGGCAATTGATTTCAAAATCTTCTTTATTTTCAGTTTTGTTTACTTCTATTTCATATTTCTCCATTCCAACAGAAGAAGAAAGTAGTTGATGGGGTTGATTTCTTTGTGGTATTGGGCTATGAGAGGGGGTCGGGTTAGGGATAGTTTTAATGGGATTTTTTTTTTATTAATTTAAATTAAAATATTGAAAATAAAAACCCATCAAAAGGGGTAAACTAATAATTTTTGATCAAATTTGTAACAAAAAGAAATCATAGCGACCAGCTACACAAGAAATTAAAACGAAAAGGACTATATATCCTCATCAAGCAAAAACGTGTGGGACAATATATGCAAATAATTCCATATTCCGTATAAATGGATAAGAAAAATCTATCCCACCCATGTAAAGAAATATAGGGATTAAAATTGAAACATATATTTAATTACATATCATATTACAATAAAGGAATATCAAAAGGTAAATAAAAATAACCCAGAACATTCATATATTAACTAATTAAACATAAAATGTTATGATATATTAATATGTTAGATAAGAAATAATTAATGACACAAGGTAAAAAGAAAAGAAAGGAAAAAGCAAGTATATGTTCTAAACTTGTAACTTAGGAAAGAGATAACTCAATTTCTTGACACCTTCGGATTCGATAACATTTTCCACTACACACGCCAACATATGAATTTCCTTTTCCATTCATTGGGTATCTCTTTTTTCCACCATCCCATAGACCTAATTTATCATTTTCTTTTTTTCCCGCCATTCTTCCACTCCTCCTCTCTCTTATCAACAGTAAAAATGGCCGAAGCTTTAGTCACTATTGCTGCCGAGGGAATACTGAAAAAGGTTTTGTCTATCGCTGCTGGCGAACTCGCCATTTCTTGGGGTTACAAAGAAAAGCTGACCAGCCTCCACAAGACATTGGAACTGATTCGTGCCAAGTTGCGCGATGCAGAGAGACAAAAGGAGACAGAGGCTGTGATGGTGTGGCTGAAGCAGCTAAAAGATGTAGTGGGAGAAGCTGATGATGTGTTGGATGAGGTTGATTACGAAATGTTGAGGCGTCAGATAAAGAAACAAGATCGGATGGCAAGAAAGGTAGTGTGCCTTCCAAGCTTGAAAAGGTTTTCATTTCGTTATAAAATAGGTCATAAAATCCAAAACATCAATGAAAAGTTGCTTAAGATCAATACAGAAGCAAACGGTTTAGGACTACAAAATGAACACCCTATTGGCCCTGTTATAGATCGTCTCTATTGGAGGGAGACTGTTCCAAATCAAGAAGAATTTAAAATTGTTGGTAGGGATGATGATAAAATGCGTATCATTGGACTTTTAACCCAATCAAGAAAAGAAGAAAAACTTAGGATTGTTCCGATTGTGGGAATGGGTGGGATAGGGAAGACTGCTTTGGCTAAGTTGGTATACAATGATAAAAAGATTGAGAAACATTTTAATGTTAAAGCATGGTTGTGTGTTTCGGTTAAGGTTGACATCAACACACTTCTCGCAAGGATCTATGAATGTCTTTCCCAGAAGAAACCTACCTCAGACTTAAGGGTCAATTTAATAAAAAGTCTTGAAGAGAAGTTGGCATCAAAAAGATATTTGCTCGTCTTGGATGACGTTTGGGTTGAACAGAGGCCATATTGGGAAGAGTTTAGGAGTTGCATGCTAAAAGTGAACTCACAAAATGGAAGTGGAATTCTTGTCACTACAAGGAAGCTTGAAATCGGAACTCATGATATGATCATGGATTCTTGTCATCTAAAAGGTCTTTCCATTGACGAGTGTTGGTCAATTTTTAAAGAAAAAGCATTTGTGGCAGGAAAATCACCATCGCTAGAAATAGAGATTATAGCGCGCGAGATTGTAAAAAAGTGTGGCGGTTTACCATTGTTGTTAAATGTAATAGGTGGCATGTTGGCAAATTACAATGACATGGAGAAATGGTTGTCCATAAAAAATAGCAAGGTGTGGGATCTAGAAGAAGAAAAGGATAGAGTTCAAAAGAGTTTGGAACTAAGCTTTGATAATCTCCCTAATTTTATCGTCAAGAAATGCTTTGCATATTGTTCCATCTTTAAGAAAGATATAGTCATGGAAAGGGAAGAATTGATCCAACTTTGGATGGCTTTGGGGTTGGTTCAAGTGGATGAGGAAAGAAACAAGGGAACAGAGGATGTGGGAAATGATATTTTCCAGATTTTGGTTAGCAATTCATTGTTCCAGGATGTTGAAAGGGATAAATATGGTCATGTCACTTGTTGTAGAATGCATGATCTAGTGCATGATCTTTCCTTATCAATTTCCAAACATGAAAGTTTACGTGTGGTGGGTGCAATCAATGATGATATATCTCATATTCCTCATGTTAAACATCTCGCTTTTTACCAAGAACAGAACGAGGACAATGAACTTGAAGCTAATGTTTATATGTTCATTAAAAGGGATACTGTGGCTAGAAGTTTGCATACATTGTTCTTCAATGGTGAAGTTGAGAAGAAATTTTCATTTCAGCAATTTAAGAGCATTCGGATCCTAAAACTCAAAGGTTGTACAATAGAGAAGATAGACGATTCAATTGGAGGGTTGGTGCACCTCAGGTATCTTGATTTGTCAGGTACCGAAATTCGTGTTCTACCACAATCTATTGGCAAATTATACCATTTGCAAACTCTGAAGCTGCTAAGTCGCCATGATCTCAAGTTTCCAAAATCCATGAGAAATTTGATAAGTCTACAATATCTCAAATATGGGGGAACCTTTCCAGCCAATATTGTGGGGCATTTAATTTCTCTTCGAACATTGCCTTCCTTCGATGTACATAAAAAGAAGGGCTATCGAATTGAAGAGCTAGGTCGTTTGAAAAACCTTAGTGGAAAGCTCTGTATTTCCAATCTAGGAAATGTTTGTAGCAAAGATGATGCTATCAAAGCAGATTTATCTGGAAAGAAAAATTTATACGAGATTGAATTCAAGTGGAATATGGAGAATCAAGGTGACAACAGAAACGACAAGGATGTATTGCAAGGTTTGCAACCCCCAAAAGATTTGAAAATATTGAAAATTAATAAATTTTCTGGTGATAATTTTCCAGAATGGGTAATGAATATGGGTATCTATATTGATGGGAAAGAGACACCCCTTGACAAGCTCGTGGAGATCACATTAAATGACTGTAGGAGTTGTCTCTATCTTCCAAAGCTTGAACACCTACCACATCTTCTGGATCTTGAGTTAAGAAAAATGGACAACTTGACATGCTTAAGGAGTTACTTAGTCGAATGCAACGATGTTACTGGATCAACGATGCCTTTGTCTCCATCATTGAGATCCCTGAGACTATTTCGTATGAAAAGACTAGAAAAGTGGATAGATGGAGAAACCAACAGCTCAAAAATGATCTCGCCTGTCCTTGAGAAGTTAGTGATTATTCATTGCCCAAAGATTATTCTCTTAGATGAATGTCACCCCCATCCTCTTGCTTTCTTAGAGATATGGATGTGTACAGGTCTGGTGTCCATTAAAAGCATGAAAGGCCTCACATCTCTCGTATCTTTAAAAATTTTCTTGTGTCCTAGTCTTTTAGAAATAACCAATTTGCCAAGCCAGTGTCATGCTTTAAAGACTTTGCAAATTTTCCATTGTGAAAAACTGACTTCCTTGCCCCACCGAATTTTTGACTGTTTTGCCTTCTTAAATGAGTTGACACTTGGTCCATTCTCGAAGGAGCTCAATTCTTTTCCAAGTCTCCAAGGCATCGAGAAGTTAAAGGATCACCTTCACTCGTTAACATTATACGGAGAGGATCATTGGAAGTCAATACCAGAAGAAATTCAACACCTCACTTCACTGACTCAGTTAAACATTGTTCGATTCGGAATTTCAGAGGTGCCAATGTGGTTAACGAACATGCCATCTATTCGAGACATTGATTTCAGTTATTGCAATGGGCTAGACGAAGAAAAGGTTAAACGGGAGCTCCGAGGGAAGCAAATGTCATCAAATTAAATTATTGGAGTATAAATAGAGAATTTAATTAATTAGATATTTGAGTGTATTGGTGCATAAATATGTTGTGTCATTCATCCTCTTGTTTAATAATAAACTCTATTCTCACTTTCTCCCCTGTCATCCATTTTGTACAAGACATGTATCTTTGTTCAATTATAAGAGGCAAGCACAAAGGAAGTATAAGCATGGGATATAAGTTCGAAATTATGTGGGTGAGGTATGCTTTTAGTCCGTCAGTTGTTTCTAAGAAACAACACTACCAGAAAAAAGACTTTTAATGGCAAACGAATTACGATGTACAACAGTTATATGACAGACAAAAACCGTTTCATACAAATATGTCATGTTTTTTAAAATATTAATAAATTACGATAATTTATTGTCTAAACTAAAAAAACATTGAATACAGTTTATTTTATGTTCATTTTCACTCAAAGTCGTCTTCTTATTATTGATGCCGTCTTCTTACTCCACGTGCTCGAGAAATCGACTCGACTTTGCCGCCATCGGTCACGCCATTGCCGTCACCACTTGACGCACACCTTCTCTCTAAACACCATCTTTGTTACGCCCCGTTTCTTGTCCATTCATATAGTTGAACTTTTAAACCTAAAGAGGGATAATAATAATAATAATAATAATAATAATAATAATAACTAGAAAAGATTCCCCCTGCGTTGCAGGGGGTTGGAAGGTAAGTTAAAAGTGAGATACTACGATTAACAGAGAACAAAAAGTACATTGCTATTTTTGTAATAACATTTCTGAGTTTGGTGATGATATATAAACTAAAATTCATGATTACAAAAAGGGCTTCCTTAACATAAGGTACCCTATGAAGTTTCACTTTATGAATAAATGGTTGAACTGTTGGAAGTTTAAGAAGCAGTTGGAACTCTTACAATAACTCCTACAATAACAATCATATAAAAAACATTTCAGTGATAAATCAATAAAGTTATGAAAGTATGTTGTGCTTTTTTTATATACTTTACCCTTATTTGAAGAAAAAAACACATACCTCCAGAGATCCACTTTCATGAAAAACACCTTCAATTTACCTGTAAAGTACACCAATTACATATTATTATTGTTGTAGTTAATATTAAGAGTTAATTACATTTTTCGTTCCTAAAGCCTTACTGAGTTTTTCAAATTTGGTCTCAAATAGGAACCAAAATTGTAGGAGAATTTTTTTAGACCAAAACTTGAAAAAGTCAGCTAAAATCATGTCCAAAAATGTAATTTAATCTAATATATTAGCTTTAGAGAGAAGTGGGAGTATGAATTATGTGATGAAATGAAGGTGGTGGTGAGGGCTTCTATGGCCGAGATTAAGAAGAGGAAGAGAAGGAAGAAATAAGTGGTTATTACATGGAGGATTAGAGGTCTTGGACTTAGATATATGTGATACAAATAGCTTGGATTGCCATTAAGTAAAAGTGAGGTGTCACTAATTCAAGTTAATTCACTTTCTTTTTCTTTTTTTTATATGTGGGCCGAGAATTGGAGAGGGAGAAAAGAAATTTGGTGTTGGGCTTATTTTTGATTACTGATCGAAATTGTATAGCCCAAAATAGATTTTTCGGCCCATTGGGTCCTCATTAGGGGTTTACAGCCCAAAAGAGGTATGAGAGATGGGTTTTCGGCCCACTATAATTAAATACATGGTTTTCGGCCCAATAAGGCCCATGATGAGTCTTATTGCCCAAAATGCTATAGTTTAATGAATATGGGTCCAACTAGGGCCCAAATGAGGTTTCTTAACCCAACATTATCAAGTTGAGGGTTTATTGGCCCATTAGGCCCAACAAGAGGATCCTGGTCCAATAAGAGTTTAAACCGGGAAATTAGGGTTACAACCCAAAGTTGAGTGAATGTAGTGCATTGATTTAGGTTTAGGGCTTCACGTGTGAATTTTGATTCGAATAGTTGTTTTTTAATGAGTAATATGTATAACATCAAACTTGGAGTTACGAGATACATCAAAAGTTGATTACATTTGGACAAAATCTCCTAGACCAAAATGTCAGTTGTGACATATATCATTTCGACCAAACCCTAATCAGCCTCCATAGCCTCATTTCGTCCTTAAACCTTATTTGCAAGGAAGTGTGAGATTTGAGCTTAAAGGTGTGTTTGGTGGTCTTTCAAGAGGGTGTACAAGAAGAAGAAGGTGGTGTTCAAGTCTTGATCAAGGAAGGAGCCTTTGGATCCTGAATCTAGAGCATCTTGGAGAGCTTTTGAAGGTAAAAAGCTTGCATCTTGTCTGCCCTCCTTACTTGTCGAGTTAGGGTTTTTTAGATTCCACTTTTGAGTCCATAAATCATCTCTTGTGTGTTTGGAAAACTCCAGGGATTTGGAAGGTTAGATCTAAGACTCTTGGAGTTGTTTAAAGTATAAAAATGCAAGCTTGATGTCTTCTATGGCTCCATGCATAAGTTAAGACCTTTGGAAAGGTCTTAATGAGGTAGATTGAGTTGTTGGGATCTTATATAGCGTGCAAAGTCATAGAGTTTCCAACTTTATGCCTTAGGACCATTAAATCGACCACTTTCTCCATGCCCATGCTATGAAAACTTCCTCTATGCAATTCTTTTCCTTCTTCTTGTTGCTGCATATCTCGCTTGTACACGTATTCTCTTTGTGTTTAGGGATTTCTGATATCTCTATCTTTTTTATCCGGATTTCGTATCTATCTTTCTCATATTTGACTGATTTTGTATGCTCATGCCTAATCCTCTTGATTATACTATCTATGCCTATCTTTCAATCCGGATTTGATATCCCTCTCTAACCTCTTCAAGGCATGGGAAACCTAAAAAAGCAAAGGAGAGACGAATTTGAGTAAAGTGCCTGCATGCATTAAGAACTTAATGGACTTTTGTGCATGAGTGGTTTGTACGTTGGGCTTACTATGTTGTACGTTGCGCATATAACCCCTTAGCCCAGTACGCAAAGCGTACAAAAGAGGTACGCTGGGCATACGCTCTTACGAAGCTTTGGGCCTTGGCGGACTTCGGACCTTTAGGCCCTAATGGTTTTGGGCCTGGACTTGCTGGTGTTTAGGCCTAAATTTATCTTTGGGCTAATGATGGTATGATTGGGTCTATTGGGCCTTGTGGCCCAATATAGAATTGGACTTTGATGCTAGGCCCATTAGCAAAGGAGTAACTTTTGGGCCGTTTTAGAGGGACTTGGACTTAGGATTTTGGGCTCTTTGATTAGGCTGAGTTATAATCCTAATTAGGGTTATATGTATATTTGTTCAGTGTGAGAGTTTGGGCTGGTAGTCGAGAAACTATTGTTTTCAGCAGATTGAGGCGAGTCTTCTCACTATCCCAATGGGTCGAAGGCACTAATGTCGGCCTATTACCTGATATGAGATTTCAATAGTTGAATATGCAGTGGTTTTGTTATTTGGTATGTATTGACTTATGTGAAGACCATGGGGGGGGGGGGGAGCCCGTGACATTTGGTAAGACCATGAGGGGAAGCCCATGACCCTTGGATATAAGACCATGGGGGTAGCCCATGGCATCCCAGTTGAAGACCATTGAGAGAGTCCATGGCAAATCTATATGTATATGTGCACGACATTATGTGGTTATGTGTTTTGCGTATTTTGGGAAACTCACTAAGCGTGTGCTTACAGTTTTGTTGGGTGTTTCAGATACTTCTGGTTCTAAGGGCAAGGGCCCGGCTTGATGGCGCAACGTGCACTCTCCAGTATTTCCGCACTAGTTGTTTTGGTTATCCCTGATCTTTTGAGCAATGTATTTATGTAATGGAATTTTGGAAAAACAATTATGAATGAGATTTCTAATTATTAAATGAAAATTTTTATCTGAATTTTTGGGTTGTTACATATTTTGTCAGGAAAGGCATCATATGCTCATTTCATAGTGAATGTAAATGAATATAAGTTTGGGTATTACCTTACGGATGAAATATATCCTTCATATTCCACATTCGTGAAGACATTTCAACACCAGTGAAACCAGTAGACAATTTTTTCAAGAGGAGACAAGAAGGAGCACATAAGGATGTAGACCGTGTTTTTAAGTTCTAAAGTCGAAGTGACGCATAGTTGAACATGCGAGCAACCATATGAGATATGCACTCTACAAGATATTATGTATGCATGTATCATAATGCATAATATGATGATTGAAGATAAATACGAAAAATTACAGAGCATATGCCCACAGAACCTATACATGTGCAATTTCAACCAGGGACAACAAAATATTTACATAGAGTTGTTGATATTCAAGATACACGAAAACACATGCAACTACGAGAAAACTTTGCGGATTATATGTACGATGGTAACAAAGATGAAGAATAATAAATTTAGGGCCGGGGGGGGGGGGGGGGAATGTATTTTTTTTTTTTCGTATTGTATTATTTTTATTAGTTTTTAGGTTTATCGTATTTTTTCTTTCTTAAAATGTTTTTTTTAGTTTTTAAATATTATTTTTTCTTTCTTGTAATGTTTTTTTTAGTTTTTAAATATTATTTTTTCTTTCTTGTAATGTTTTTTTTAGTTTTTAAATATTATTTTTTCTTTCTTGTAATGTTTTTTTAGTTTTTAAATGTTATGTTTAATTTAAAAACTAAGTTTTATTTAAATAACATGTTTTATTAAATTACATTTGTTTTTATAAATATTAAAAAATTAATAAAAAAAGGAAATGATAACATGGGAAATTAGTGGGTGTTATTAGGGCTGACAAAACTGCACCACGGAAAACCAACCAACATGTTACCAACCGAATCAAGAAAGTTGGGAGCCAATATGTTTGGTAGCCAACATCATTGGTTGATAATACCATACCAATTAAGCAATTTTGGTACGGTAATGGTACAAAAGTTTGAATATCATAGTAATATCGTACCAACTAATTCATTATATATATATATATATATATATATATATATATATATATATATATATATATATATATAAACAGAATCATATATTTCAATTAACAAGTGTGTTTAGTGTTTGCAGTTTAAAAAATATTATATAAGTCATTTGATCGCATTAGTCAATAGTTATTATCACGTTAAAACACAAAATAAAAATGTTACTTTATCTTTATTTCAATAGAATTCTTTTGTAAAGTAAAAGAACTAAAAGAACTATGTAACTAATTTGTTTATTATACTAATTTTACTAAATGTGAAAATTACCTTATATCTTTGTTAAATCTTACAATAAAAGATTAAAAGAAGTTGGTATATACCATTACCATTTGTACCAACCAAAATTGTTGGTAGACGAACATATTGGTACCAAGTATACTTGGTACGGTACTGGTAACAAACTTTGTATACCAACTATAATTGGTATACCAACTATAATTGGTACGGTACATGGTTTAGGGAAAAAAGAATCGGTACGGTACCAATTCCACCCCTAGGTGTTATAACATGTTGATCATTTTTTTAATTAGTGTTATAACATCAACGGTGATGTGGCATGTGAGGTGACATCAAAATGATATTATAACATCCCTTAACATGTTGTCAATACCTAATAGTCTAAAAGGAAAATAAAAAAACTATGAAAATAAAAAAACTATGATACTACCGAGAAATAATGAAAAACGAAATGTAACTTCAAATTCAGGACTAAATATATAACTTTAGTACAATATAGGGGGTAAATGTGTGCATGTAACCCACACCTTTTCTGTGCAAATCAAATTACCCGCTGAGTTGACCCATTCGAAAGTGCCTTCTCGTTCTCAATGTCTAACCCTATGCCGGTGAACATAATCTCCGACGACGACACAACCCCACTTCAGTTTAAATCCAAGAAGCAAAGAATTAGTTTTGATTCGAACGCTACAACAGTCTTCATTATCGATGACGACCCAACTCCTCGCAAGCCATCGCCAAGTCCCACCGCTACTTCGACGCCTTCAGTCGTACCCGAGACGCCCTCAGTTGCACCGGAGACGCCTTCAGTTGTACCAGAGACGCCCATGGTGGAATCCCCGAAATCATATGTTCCAATAGTCAGATGCACCAATGCTGTGTCGGATCCCCAACCCAGATTCTCTTCATCTCCCAATCCTAAGCCCTCTGGTATGTCTTTATTGCCCTTTAGGGAGGGAATACACCTTTGTGGCTGCAAATTAGGGAGTATCATTTGCTTCATGGGATTTGATTTTTCTGGTGATATTGAATATGTGGAAATCGGTTCCTGGCTGTGGCTTTGAGTTATTGTTCTATGATATAATTTTGTTTAATTATTTCTGCAACTTCTTTTGGGTTCTTTGTTTTGAAAAGCCGAAGGTGGTTGCAAACATCTAATGATAAAATTATTATTCTTGTCCAGCTTTGTCCTCACCAATCACTAATGCCTTATAAGAAACACAATACTTTTCAAACTCAAAATTGAAACATTAAGTTCTAGGAAAACCTGATGATCACATTAAACATTACATTTCATCCAACCAAAGGTGTAAGAGTAGGATGCTGTAAACCATACCTTTTGTTCCATTTAAGTGTTGTTTTTTGGTGTTATATTAGTGTAAATTGTGGTCATCCAACAACACCAGTAACATTTTCACAAGGCCCTTTTTTTTCTTTTTTTCACACTAAGTGTTGTTAGGATAAAGTGGTGGCAAATTTATAACAAGTTTAATCCTTTTATACATGTGTTACAGGATTGATATGTTTAGAATCTGATGAGGAATATGAAGGGTTTGGGAGCTTTCATGAAAAACTCAATGAGCCGAAATCACTTACTCTAGAAGTGGAAAACAATTTAGAAATGCCTTCTACATGTTCAAAATCCTCTATGTTACATGGTTAGTTCTGATCTACAATTTTTTCCTTATGTCATGTGTGCTTTGTCATTTCAAAACACCAAAAAGGATGTTTTTTTTTGCTTTAAATAAAAAGTGAATGCATAATGTATTCAGGTAAATGGCTAGACAAAGTGAAACCTTAATGGCACTAATGGTGAATCAGTGTAATTGTTCTATATATGATTAATTGGAAATCTGTGAAGTGGTTTCTCAAAATATTAGCTAAATAACATGTTTGTTAATTCATGTGCTTCTTTTAGTCACCCATAAGTAATACAAGACATAAATGTGCAGATAGCTCTTGTTTATCACCTATGTTAGAAGAACTACCTCAGGTACTTTCTCCTTGAATGTTGTTACCTATTTTAAGTTCTATAAGATATATAATTCTCTCTTCCTATAAGCATAGTTTTTAGTTTTTTAATTATTTGAAAGGGTAGTCAGGTTTCTGATCATTTTGGAGAAGAAGATGATATTCAGGATCCAACAAGTGAAACAAAGGGTAATAATGTAAATAAGAAAGGAAAGACAAGTGAAGAAGAAAAAGATCATTTGATGAATGAAAAGAAACAACAAAAGGAGGAATCTTTCAAAGGATATGTTCCATTAGTGAGATGCAACAATTCTATTCCATCTTTCAATCCTAAGCCCTCTGGTTTGTCTTTTTTTGCTCTTTATTGTTTTTATTAGACAAACACATAAATTCCTTCATTTTAAACCACAACGTTTACCATAAAGTATGACCTAAAGTTATATGTAGGTTTTTAAACATCATTCTAATAACATTTCATGTCTAATTTTCCATCAAAATAAAGACTCAATTATCTCATTTGAGTCGATTTCCAACATAAATCAACAACCAGGTTAAGCAATTATCTTCAAATTAAGCAAACTCAAAGCCTAAGTTTTATAAAATGTTAGTAAACATACTAATAATAGATTATAATCATATAAACAAAGCATCTTACCTTGATTAAATCTCCTAAAGTCTAATTCTTCCATTTAAATTAAACAAGTTCTTAATCTTTTCACATGGTAAAACAAGTCCAATATTAACATTTAATCCCAATACAAAATTATTTAATTACCTTCAATACAATGAAATGTCCTCTTTTTCTCAAATATGGTATTTTCAAGATGTAATTTTTGAACCCTAAATTATTCCAAAGAAGGCATCTCTGTTTCTATTAACAAGTTTGGTGACTAGAAGTTGTTAAACACTACAGAGAAAATATTGGATTAGATCTTAAGACTTAAATATACTTTTCCTTTTATCCTAAACCTTCTCTATTTGTTCATTATCTTTAATCTTTATTTTTCAAACTCTTGTCATTCTGAACATCAAAGCTATCAGCCTATCATAAAATTGTGAAAGATACTTAATTGTAATATGAAATCTTTATTCTCTAAAAGTTATAAATTCCAAATTCAGTGTATTTGATCATTCTATTTTACTTAAGCTAAAGTCTTTGTTGGTTACAAGTTTAATCCTTGTACACATTATTAAAATTATAAAATATTCTGTTACAGGATTGATATGTTTAGAATCTGATGATGAATCCGAAGAATTTGGAAACTTCCCTGAAAAATTAAAAGAATCCACATCACTTCCATGTCCAAAATCCTCAATCTTACAAGGTTAATTCTGATCTAGAAATTTATTTATAAAATCGTTCTTTTTTTTTTCATTAATTCAAAAAGAAACATTCTTATATAACACAAGACATCTATATATATTTGCAGACAACTCTTGTTTCCCATATATGTTAGAAGATGAACCACCTCAGGTAATTTCTTTTTGAAATTTATAAACCTTATTTTTCTAGTCTATAAGATTCCTAGTTTATTAATTATTTGAAATGGTAATCAGGTCTCCAGTCTTTCTGGAGAAGAAGATGATATTGAGAATTCGACAATTAAAAACATTAGTCCAAAAGGTAAAAAAACAAAGGGTAATAATGTAAATAAGAAAAGGAGTAATGGCGGAGTTACTAAGGAAGAAAAAGCTCGTTTGATGAATGAAAAGAAACAACAAAAGGAGGTTCGTGTTTTACTTTTACCTAACTTAAAAAAAAATATAAAATTGTTTATGTAATATTATATTAATAACTTACTGATAAATAATACATCTTATATAATATTTAAGCAAGAGAAGCTACAAAAATTAGCTCTCAAGGCACAAGCTGCAGAGATGAAGAAAATGCAAAAAGAAATTCAAAGTTATGAAAAAGGAAAGTTTGCTCAAAAATCCATTGTAGCAAACATCGACACTAAAGTAATAGAACAAGGCTCAATTGGAGGTAAATTCAAAGATTGAATTTTATATTTAAAAAAAAATATAAAATTGTATTATTTATTATTTAATAATGTGTCTTGTCTCTTAGTTTAGGACAACTGCTTACACGGTTTGCTGAAAAAGGAATTCAATATCATATCACTTCAAATGCTGTTGAAAAGTCGATTATTTGGAACATGTCTGTTCCAGAACACATCACACATGTAATGAAATCTTTTATTTTAATTTATGGACTTTTTCAAAAAAATAAAAATGATTTTGAAAAATTGAAAAGTTTTAATATATAATATATTTAACAGGCGTTGACTCGTGGGACTGAAATCCCATATGTTTTGGTGATTTTTGAGGCTGAAGAGTTTTGCAAACTTGTGATGGATGAATCTTTGTTTATGGATCATGTGACACGTGTTCAATCCATGTATCCATCTCATACCATTTGTTACCTCACAAATAGACTTAATTCCTATATCAACAAGAGGTATTAATTTCACAATTTACTTTTAGGGATTTGGATTTTAGCTACTGAAGCTGAACTATTTTATTTATTGATTTAGAATTTTAACAAAAAACAAGTGATGTATGTTTTTTTGTTTTTTAAATTTTTAGGGTTAATCTCATAAAAGACCTTATGTTTTTTTTTTTTTTTTTTTTTTTTTTTTTTTTTTTTTTTTTAAGAGATTAAACCTCATATGTATTTTTTGCTTAAAAAAGACCTTGTGTTTTTTCATTTTTTCCGAAAAAACCCTCAACTTTGTCTTTTTTTTCCTGAAAACAACCCTCAACCTTCTAATGGCTTCCAAATAAACCCTCAACTTTGTGGTTTTTCGCGAAAAAGCCCTTACATTTTACATTTTTTTTGGAAAAAAAATGACTAAAAAGGCCAGATTGGAAAAAATGAAAAAAATACAAGGTCTTTTTCAGGCAAAAAATAAATTTGAGGTTTAATCCACCTAAAAAAACACAAAATATAGGGTCTTTGATGAGATTAACCCCCGTAAAAACTTGTAAAATGTGAAGATTTTTTCGAGAAAAACTAAAAAAATTGATGGTTTTTTTGGAAACAGTTTGAAATTTGATGGTTTTTTTCGGAAAAAATACAAGGTTTTTTTCGGGCAAAAAATAAAATTGAGGTTTAATCGGGAAAAAACACAAAATATAAGGTTTTTTATGAGATTAACCCCAATTTTTATATGTAAAACACCTAACCTAACCTAAAATTCGTTTTTTAAAAAATTAAAAAACCAAATTGTTGGTTTTTCTAATGGTTTGTCTTTTTTTGCACACCCTAGATAAAATGAATAAAGTACGTTGTCATTTTCTGTATTTCACTTCATCATTATAATATGCTTAATGCATACAAAAAAATATTTTATCCTTATATGGGATTCGAGTGGGCCCCAATGAAATGAAGCCAAGTGTATGCTTTTCTTTTTCCTATTTAAAGTTGAACTTTTACATAACTTTTTATCTTTATTTGATGTCTTTATGTTTGCAAGGGAACAAGAACACTACAAGAACCCTGGAAATCATAGTGGGTGGAGGCGTCCACCTGTGGAACAGGTCTTTCCTTCACAAGTTTTTTAATTGAAATTTAGTTTTTAAATACAATATAATAATAATAAAAAAACATTATTATTTTTTTTTTTTAAACTTTTCACAGATGTTGTCAAATTTAACAACACACTTTGTTGGAGTACATTCAAGATTATGCACAGATGAATCCGAATTAGCTGAACATGTTACAGGTCTAACATCCAGCCTCGCCTCTTGCCAGTTTAGGTACTTTTTCTTCACATTTTTTTTTTCAAAAAATTGCAATTATTTATTATAAGTATTAGAAAATTATTTCATTTGATTTTATGCTAATGTCCTTTTTTTTTTTTTTTTTTTTTTTATGTTAGGAAGAAGCTTACGCGTTTATCGGTCAATGCTAATAATGGTACCCTTATTCCCAAAGATGCTGACCGATTTCTAATAAAAAAGAACATTTGGTAACAACTTTTATTATACTCTAAATTAAAAAGTAATATGTAGATTGTTATTATTTTATAATATTTTAATTTTTGTTTTCCTTGTAGGTTAAAAGCATTAATAGCAATTCCAAAGGTACAACCACGTGCTGCCATAGCAATATGGAAGAAGTATCCAACCATGAAGTCACTCTTGACTGTGTATATGGATCCAACAAAATCGGTCAGTATCAAATAAATGTTTTTTTTTTTTATTATAAAACTATTTAAACTTTTTTGTCCAACTGACATCAGTTCCAATCTCAGTCCAATGCATGTGTACAACACTGCAAGAATGGTTTATTCTTAATTGTGTAGTTTTAAACATATGTAGGAGCACGAGAAAGAGTTTTTACTTGAGAATTTGAAAACGGAAGGAGTGGTTGGAGATAACAGAAGATTAGGAGAGATTTGTTCCAAAAGAATTTATCGGATATTAATGGCTGAACGTGGGTCCACCAAAACCGATGATGTGGAAAATGGTGCTGATTTTTTTAGCCCTCAATCATCACAAAAAGTAAAAACTATGTTTTAAGCAAATGTATCTCTGGGTTTGTTATGTTTGTATCTATATGTGAATTCTATGTCCCATTCAAGAAAATTAGTGTTGGTATCATATCATTATATGATCATTTTATTATTATGTTTTAGATTTATTATGATGCTAAAGGTGCATAGTCATTTATTGTTGTTTTGACATAATTAAACGTTGTCTTTATCTACTGAAAGTCTAATACCAATGGGCTTGTGGCCTAGTGGTATATACTTGGTGTGGTGGAAATGTGTCAATCAATCAATTGGTTGAGTTCAAGGTTTAAATCCTGTGGTAGATGAAACTGTGTTGGCTCTTAAAAAAAATCTATTGATTATAACAATTACTAGAATGATAAATTTCACACCCAATATGAGAGATACTTACCCTCGACAATCAAGACTGACTAATGTGCCCAATGAATCGATAATGATCAATGCCATTTATTCTAATCTGTATGTCATGCAACAAAGTGATTATCGAATACAAGTATATTAATATTCTCTTGGTAATAAACTACTGAATGTGTTGCTACGTGACTACACCAAGAGTCTGGAGTCCAGAATCTAGATAATGTTTGTATGATGCATGCTTATGACTAATGGGCCACGAAATAGGATTTAAGCCCATAAGCAATAATGGATGAATCAGTATGAGTGGGCCACGAAATAGGATTTAAGCCCATAAGCAATAATGGATGAATCAGTACGAGTGCTATCACTCTCATGTAGGGGTGAACAAACCGTTTTTTTTTTTCAAACCGAACCGGTTCAGTAAACCGGTTATGTTCAGATTCATGAATAGTAAAACCGGTTCAGCCATAAACCGGTTCGGTTCAAACCGGTTCCGTCATAGAAAAACTCGAACCTATCTAAACCGGTTACACCGGTTCTAAACCGGTTCGATCGGTTTGACTACCGGTTCCAAACCGGTTCACAGTTATTAAACCGGTTTCAATATCTAAAATCTCGAACGGGTGCGAACCGGCGGTTCGGTTCTTGAATCGGTTCGGTTCATAGTGGACCGGTTTACCGGTTCAGTGACCGGTTCGGATCCTGAACCGGTTTTTTTGTGCAAGCCTACTCTCATGTGCCTATGTTAGTATTTAGTAACACGGGATGTTTTTTAGGGATATTAATTAAATTAACCATATTTTTTTAATTATATTTAAGAAAAATAATCTATTTTATATTTATTGGTGTAACATATCACATTATTATGTAATTGTATATTGTATCAATATCTAGTTTAGCCCAAGCATTGTACAGACAGGCCCATAATCTCTTGTATATGTATTCACGTATCAAGTCAATAGATTCCAAGTTTGGGAAGCATACATTTCTACATGGTATCAGAGACCATATCTTTGCTCCCCTAAAATCTCTCAATTCTCTCTCTCTTTCCTTAATCTTCATCATGTTCCTTCTTTCTCATCGGCTCACTGCCGACCCTAATCATCCCCACCATCACCATGCCTGGCGATACTCCCCCCCCCCCCAACCAGGGACGACTCAACCAATTTGGGGGCTCTAAGCGAACCAAAAGTTTGGGGCCTTTGAGTTCTTGATAGTTATTGACAGCCTTGACCTTCAAAAAACTCAAATTCGTTCCACCTTTGCAACTTCTAGCGAAAATCATTCCAAAAATCCAACTTGACACAACGAATATTAAAAAAATTAAGTCATATTAACCTTAATAGATAGTCTAATAAAGAAAGAAGTCTACATCAAAGTTCAAAAAATAGATTTATTCCTTCTTTTGTGTAGAAAATGATAAACAAATTTCTACATCAAATAGATTTATACATCAAAATTAATAGATTTAACTTCATCAAATTAACAAAATTTAGCATAATATATATCTAAATTCTAAAACAAAACCTCACTCAAAAAATTGCTATGTAGTTGCTTCGCCCTAAAATCAGAACATACAATCTTACAACTAACAGCAATGAGTCTATAAAGCTTTACTTACAAACACAAAACGAATCTAACAGTGGGACGATTAACAAGGAAAAATGCTCATATACAAAGTACAAACAGTTAAACCTCTATTTTTGATTTTTGAATTATGAATTCGCTAAGGAAAGAAACAATAGTCAGCGATTATCAGCCTCAGAAAGAAGAATCAACAATCGAGCTAACCTCTTTTTTTTATTTTTGAATAAGAATCAGTCAGATCATCAGAGCCAAGAAGAAGAAGATTAGAATCGAGAATTAAAATCAAACCGGTAGACGGTAGTGGTAATCCATTCAGCGGTTACGAGGACATAGGAGAATGAAGAATGAACTCAGAGGACACACATTCAAAGAAGGAAGAATAGTCGCCGAGAATTACTGCTGCTTATTGTGTTAATGGAGAATCCGAATCGTTAATCCCTAATTGAAATATGGGTTAAGTGGGGCCCCTTTAGAATTGGGGCCCTAAGCAAGGGCTTATTTTCTATCTATATAAGGCCGGGCCTGCCCCCAACACACACACACACACTATCCACAAAGCTTATGGCATCACGAATATCAAATTATATGCCCATGTAATCCTTGATCTCTCTGCTCATAATTATGATCCCTGGAGCGATATCTTCCGCCTATGATGCACCTAAGTCTCCTCCTACGGATCCAGAATGGGAAAAGTTAGATGGCATGGTCAAAATATTGTTATTTGGCACCATCTCTCAAAGTCTTATTACCTCTACTTACTCTTCAAAAGCGACAACTCGTAAGGTATGGACCAACCTTCATTCCATTTTCTATGATCACAACAAATCCACCGCTATGCAACTCGAAAGTGAACTCATGACTATTTCCATGGGAGATCTCTCAGTCCACGATTATTGCACTAAAGTCAAGAAATTGGTTGATCACCTTGAGGGTCTTGGCAAAAAGGTCAAGGACAAACATGTGGTTATTCACGCTGTCAACGGGCTCTCTACCAAATATGACGGAATTACAAACATTATTCGGCACCAGAAACCCCTCCCCACATTCAATGAAATGCGTTCCATCCTTACTACCGAGGAGCAGCGTCTCCTAATGAATCGGGTTCCCACTCCTACGCATGATAACCACTCGTCGTCACCTATCCTCCTTCACACCAGCAACACATCTTCCAATAAAGGTGGTTGCAATAATTCTTTCCGTCGAATTGATCATTGTGGGGTTCGAAATAGCAGCAACAATCGACGAGGCGGGGGGCGCCAAAATTACTCCGCCGCAAATCAATGCTACGATTGGGTCTTCATTCCACCGCCGATCCCCTTCTCTTCTCCCCAATGGGCTGGTCCAACGACTCATCAACAAAATCATCAACCTTTTTGGGCTGCTCCTCAGCAGACTCAACATTTGGCCTAACAGTGGGGTAGTCCTCCTTCCAACCACAACGGGCTTCTTGGCAGCAGACCCCCTTCAAGCCCAACAGCCAGTCCAAGCCTACTATCAGTCCACTAGCAATGCACAACCCCATGGGCTTGGCTTGGAAGCATAGATCAGCCCATGTCGCTACCCGTAATGTTCAATACGATGAATTTAAATGATCCAGACACTGACGATTGGCTGATGGACAATGGGGCAACCGATTACGTCCACGCTATTGCAGGTATACTCAAAACCCTTTGTAATAATAATTGTATGCCTCATTCTATTTTTTGTCGGTAACGGTTCTGCAATACCGGTGTCGACCTTGGGACATACAAATTTTCCAATACCAAATCCTTACCGCCCACTTCATTTACAAAATATTCTCATTACCCCAAATATTATTAAAAATCTAATATTCGTTCGCAAATTCACTACTCATAATAATTGTTCTATTGATTTTGATCCTTATGGTTTTACTGTTCTTGATTACCAGATACGACGCCCTCTAATCCGTTGTGATAACACCGACCCGCTATACCTAGTCACCAACTCCACAAGTCATGCTTTCGTTTCTACCTCCTCCACCACTTGGTATCAACGACTCGGTCACCCCGACGATCAAGTCTTGAAGCATTTATTTTCTAGTAGTTCTATTTCACGCACTTTACCTAAAAATAATGTTATTTGTCAAGCTTGTCAACTTGGCAAACACACTAAACTTCCGTTTTCTATTTCCGATTCTGTTGTTTCCGTACCTTTTAAAATAATACATTCAGACTTGTGGACATATCCCATTTCTAGTTTTGGTGGTTTCAAGTATTACATTCTATTTCTTGATCATTATGCTCATTATTTATGGGTTTATCCTCTCAAGCAAAAATCTGAAGCATTTGAAAAATATATTATTTTTCAATCTTATTAAAACTCAATTTGGGGATAATATTAAACAATTTCAATGTGATATCAGACGATAATATAATAATAAAACCTTCCATGATCACTTTTCCCTCCACAGTATCACTTTTCCTTTCTCTTACCCTCACACATCTCAACAAAACGGAAAGTTACAACGTATGATCCATACCATCAATAATATGATGCGTACCCTCTTCTTTCAAGCTCACCTACCACCCATATTTTGGCCCGGAGCCCTTTACACGACCTCTCACCTCCTAAATTTCCTCCCCTATGTGTCCATCTCGAATGACACACCTCATTTTCGCCTCTAGCACCGCCACCCTACATATGATCATCTATGGGTCTTCGAGTGCTTATGTTATCCTCGCCTCCACACCGCTCAAAAACTCCAGCCACGTTCCACTCCTTGTGTCTTCCTTGGTTACCCCTTTAATCATCTCGGTTTTCGTTGCTTCGATCTTTCCACCCGGAAGATCATCATCTCTCGTCATGTCACATTTGATGAGTCTATATTTCCATACGGTTTCGTCACTTCGACCGAACCTACATCCTATGATTTCCTTTCCGACTCTGATGTTTCTCCTTTATTTCATGATATACTTCACCCTTTTGCTCCCCCTCCCTTACTCACAAAGACGAGACTCATACTCCTCCCCCTCCCCTCTTATCTCCTCACGAGGCCAGGGCGCTCACTCCTCCCTCTCCTCCTCAAATCGAAATCAACCCAACACACTCCATGAAAACCAGATCTAAAAGTGGTACTGTCAAACCCATTCATCGCCTTAACCTACATTCCACCTCTATTT